AAGAGATAATTTTATGTTTCTAGGTGCTACTTCTGCAGGTAGGGTACGTATAGGGTGAGGACATCCAAATATTCCAATAATAATTTTCGGAGCCTTTAAATTGACAGAGACAGCTGATCTGTTACAGAGTGGCTTTTCATTTTTGTTCTTTTAGCAAGAAGGAGAAAAATATTCTTTAAACAGAAGTGAGCTAGGCAGCCCATATTTACATTTTGATTTTACAGATTACCTCTGTGCATGTCAGCTTTTGAGAAACATTTTAATATCACTTCAGAAACAAGCCACTTTTCCACATCACACTTTTCTTCACCAATCTATCTTCATAAATAATTTTTAAAATCACATCATGTTAGTTTGCTTTTATGACATTTATTCTATTCTGTGCCATACTGGCAACCGGAACAGAACCGGCTGCACTGTTATGGGCAGTACTGGAGTTTTGATTAAAGGTCTGGATAGAATTTAGGGTAATGGTTTGTGCTAATTAATCCCAAACAAAGTGAACATCCCACTTATCTTCAGTATTCCCTGGGGTGGAAAGATGATGGGGATCTGCAGGGATTTTTGTGTTGTTTGGCTCAGCAAGGTAGGCTAAGTCTGCTTCTCCATTAGATGTTGTCTTCCGACTGAGTGGAGCTTGGACTGCTCTATAGAGCTCAAATCCACCAGCTCAAGGCAGAAATTCATCGGTTCAGAGTCTGATGCCTACAACAAGTAACTACTGAGTTTAGATTTAAATAATTATAGGACAATTAAAATGTTTGAGAAGGTCAGAAAAGGACCAAGCTGTAACAGTCATTAATTTTCAAATTATTTTTTAAGCTATGTAGGCTGGTATTTTTTATTTTATCAAGCACAGGCTTAACACTAGAATAAGGAAAGGGATTTTCAGACTCACCCATCCAGACCTGACATGACTGGCACTTTCTAGGACAAGAAGAGATGAAAGAAATCTGCTCTCCACTGGATCTTAAACATCCCATTTTCTTGGGCTGGTTCTTCATCTCTTTTACAGCTTTCAAGATATTTCAAAACTGAAAAAAAGATGAAGTCCAAATAGTGCTTATACGACATAGTTCTAAAAAATAGTAATAATTTGACTTCCTTGATTTTGAGTAGCTGGAATTAGTTGTCCAGGTTCCATTAAACCCAGGGCTGATGTGAGATCACAAAATTGAAGTTGTAAGAGCTCTGGTGACATTACTATTATGTAGGATTGAGTGAAGTAAAAGAAGGACTATTATACAAGTGCTATGTTCTGTTTTGAACTAAGGTACTGGTCCTTTTGGTTCTAAAATTGGTCCTAAATCCAAAATTAGATTTTGAAGAACCATGGAGAAAAGTAGAGAGAGCAAGTGGCGGTGGTACTTATAAACATCTGAAATAAGTTTGGACTCTGCATAAGCAGTGGATTTACCTAATGTTCCTGTGTTGGTAGGATGGTTTTAATTTAGTTTAGGATGATTAATGGTGGAATGTAATATTCTGAATGTCTTCAAAATTCTTTAGGTTATAAGAAAAAAGAAAGGCATCAGTCTCTGCTGAGACCAAGTCATCATGTCTTATTTTGGTGATCGGTCCTTTTTAATAGACTAGGTCTAGACTTACAGCTTATAAATCTATAGCATTAAAATATATAGCATGTAAGTCTAGAACCCAAGTGCATTCAGTTTACTGTATGTCTCAAAGAGATTTTAATTGTGCTGGCATCTACCATGTCATAAACTTTATTTAAGACTAGATAGCTTATTCATTCCAATTTAATAAATCTTAGGTTAAGGTTTGGTTTAGGATTTGCAAATCCAAATAGTTAAAAACCTAGATGGCTTCAGAATTTTGAAAAGCTGATAGAAAGGAAGCTGTTTTCCATTGTCACTAAGGGTCAATGTTTTTTCCACAGAATGGAATATTATACATTATTCTTCTGCTACAATTAATATGGATATACAGCTAAGAGCCCTTAGATTTCATCAAGATGAAGATTCCTGGTCTTTACTGGTGGTTTTTATCCCATTTTACTAACATTAGGATTCATATCAGATAAAGCCTCATGTACATGCATCCAGCTTCTACAGTTCAATGTATTTTGGAATGTTATTTCATCCAGCGTAAGAGAGGACTCTCCTAACTGGACATTCCCATTCCACATGATATCTTCTGTGAACTGAGTTGCCTGGTCCAGAAAGAGTGTATGTGTGGGAAAACACTTTCTTCCTTTACTTACATGGTGTTCTTCTCTATGTTATTAATCAAAATTCAACTTAAATCAATGAAAATGATCTGAATTCAATGAAAGACTATTGGATCTTGGAAGTGCCTGATTATTTAAGGAACAAACAGAAGGTGCTCAACATGACAAGTCCCCTTTCCTTTTAGCTGTCTAGTTCAAGCACAGTGTCATAGCAAGGAGATGAGAGTCTCTGCTCTAAGGACAGTTTATCAAAAAAGATACACAGTTATCCATTGTGAGTCATGGAAAGAGTAATGGCTTCATGAGTACTAGGGGGTGGTTCTTTACTTCTCGAAACATTGCTCCTCCAGCTGAAATTAATCCAGCACATGAAACAAGAACCTCTCCTGCAAGAGCACAGTGGGCAGGGAAAGAATCTTTTATGAACTCTTTTTATTTGTTTTCTGTCTTGCCTAGGCACCATTAAGTCAACTACTCTATTTTAAAAGCTAATAAAATCTGCTTTTCCTGTATTTGAAGGTAATTTACTATCCTTTTTTGGCAGCTCTGTGTAAGAAAAAGGTTCTGGTCTGTCCACCCTACCTGACCTGGCTTTCCATCACAATTCTTGTCATATAGCAGCGTCATTTCTTTTCTGGTATATGTTGCTAAAACAAAATTTCCAAATAAAGGGATTAATATGTATATTCCATATAAAAATTATCTCTTGTCTCATATGCTCTATATTACTGAATAGGACTTGACAATCTGTATTTTTTTCTCTTATTTTTCAGCACACATTAACCTTCTGTCTCTCTTTCATGATAAACAAAGAGAATATGATTTGCTGCCTGTTTCACTCTTTCTTTTTTTTTTCCGAAGTTCTGTATTTTAAATAAATAAAAATTCTAATTTAAATAATAATAATTCTATTTCAAATAAAAGTTCTGTATTTTAAATAAATCATTAAAAGCCTCGCAGAATGTCCAAGATCAATATAACACATCATCTTCCAAAATAAAGCTATGTCATATTTAAATTCTAGTCTTACTATCTTACTATACTATCTCTAGTAGTCTATACCATCTTTAGTTCTGTTATGGCACATCAGGGAGGTTATTCCTTTTTAAATTAGCCAAATAATGAACACCGTAGAAGTGTTCATTCAGCCCAATATTGTATCACTAGGAATGTATGGAAAAATTCCCTCATATAAATGGGATCACATAAAGGGCAATGTCTGTTAAATAAAAGCATATATCAAAATAGGATCTAAGAATCAATATCAATGTATCCCATGTTCACATCATAAGCATATATAAGTGTGTCAGTGACAAGAAATATGTTGTGTCCTTTTCTGCTTGTAATTGCAACATCATTGCTTACCTACAGCGAGTCATAGAGAATGCCTTCAGGCATGAACTGCCCTCAAAATAAAATTCTACTGTATTATTATTTTATATTGGCTATCTTTATAAAGCTAGTGTCTTGGAAGCTGAAGCTGTGTAATAAAACTTGCATGCCACCTAAACATAACTCCCAAGCAGTTTCTTTAAGTTCAGAAAAAAACTGGCCTTGTTTTAGTTCAAACTACAGAGAAAGAAATATCTGCCAAGAGGCTCTTACATAGGGAGCAGAAGGAAGAAAGTAGATTGGTGAGGTATACTGGGTAGAGTTCAACAGATGAGTTTCATGAGAGAGACAGAGAAGGAAATATTTTCACTTTCAGAAAAGGTACTGTGTAAAATACAGAGCTGGCATTCAGTTAAGATGTTAGAACTTACCATTATAGCAGGGAATTTTTGCAGGTTTTGTGCAGAATTTTCAACGAGCCAGTGTAGTTAGGTCTATTTGTACCTTGAAAACAGATGTAACCAGTAATAAATTCTTGTGGTGATTCATTCATCTATATGCATCTTGCACAGATGAAATTTTTCAGACCTGTGGAAGCAACATGAGATATATTATTCAAGGCTGATGAGTCAAATATTCTACCAGACCTATCACAATATTCAAAATAAATCACAGTGCTGCCATGTTGCCCAAAATCTGGAATAGAGTACTTCAACATGTATTTTATCCAACAGGAACTGATTAATTAAAGAAAATATATTTCACTTAATCAAGAGCAGTTTGTATGGAAAAAGATGACTTTAAATTTGGCATTTTCAAAGCATGGTATCAAATTAAATTATTTTGAAGAAAACTCATACCTAATAAACGTGTTTTTCATTGCCTGGTATTGTATTTTCTCTGCTCTCTTCCCCATCCCTCTTTCCTTTTTAACAGGTTTTAAGGATATTTCTATTAATGCTGTCTATCTCAACGGTTCTGTGTATTTATCATCTTATAACTGTAATAGGAATATAAATACACGACGGAAGACTGGCTTTGATGATAACTCCTTCTCTGCTCTCAAGTTATTGACTTTTCTTCCTGCTTAGTTCTCTCTCCTATTTCTGTTACCACCATAAGTGTTCAGGAGTAGGGCACTCCATTGCACTTTCATTTGAACTTTTTCTGAAAATCTAACTGAGATCAGCAAAATATCTTATCAAGTGTTTCCTCAATATAAATAAGAGGCCTTTCTGTTTCAGGAGGCATTGGTTTTGAAACTTCCTGCAAATGTAATGAATTCTGATTTTTTTTTAGCGTCTTTGTGTTGTAAAGCTCATCATTTCCATTTTTATATATTATATTATCAAGACACTGTTCAAATGTGATAGTTCTAAGGATTGCATGTGTTGAGCTGGAAACATTTTTACAGTAGCATTTTTAATTGGTGACCCAAAGAAAGCCATATAAAATAAATACAATAATGTATCATCACCTGTACTTTCTTGTCAGGGTTGAAGTATGTCAGGGAATAAAAAGCAGTTGAGTGATCATTTGTCATAAAATCACTACCACAATGCTCTCATAGTCCTTTGCAAAATGAAAGTAAAATGCAGACTGGAAAAGCACTTTCTACTTTCACAGCAACGGAATAAGTTTGTTTATTCAGTAACTAACTATGTTTGTGCTGGCAGGAGATAAATTTTTTAGTGAACTACTTGAAATATTCTGGCTGTCTTCTTATTTCATTACTGGAGGCAGCAGGCAGAAACTACATTATGTGAAACTGTATTGCTGCATACAAGTCTTCTCATCTTGCATGATTTAAACACTAAAATACATTGTTAAACTGCTTAGTCTGTGTGGTGACAAGGACTGCACAACTATCCAACTGCATAAATAAAAGTACTTATTAAAATTTTGTTTAGTTCTCTCCTTCTGTCTGATGAAAATGTTTTCAATCAGGCAGGCTCGTTGAAAAAAGATTATACATAATTAAATTTCAGTGGCTATAACAGAGCACTACTTGATTGGATTATGTTAGCTGTATTTGTAAAATGTGTTATGAAGATTTTGTCCTTTTTTAATATTTGATTTCTGTCTTCAGTTTTGATTTAAATATTTTGCTAGAGTATCTTCACAGACAGTGGACTGCATTTCTTATTTTATATTTATTTCAATTGTGTTCTAATTGCAAAGATCACTGCACAAAAGAATAAAAGTTCTGATCATGCAAGAGTTTTCTGCATTTTGATGAAATATCAAATATAAAAGTTAAATTTTCTGTACCTTCCCAATCTTCATTCAGTAGTTTAGAGTTTAGTGGAAGAAATAATTACAGAGTAAAAAGGCTATCTGAGATGATGGATACTCCAGGAAGTGAGAATGAAATTTTTACAGCCAAGTCACTGGCTTGAATGTGGCTCATTTCGGTAGAGACTGAATATACTGACTTTTTGATATCTCATCATTGGCTGTAATAATTTTTTTGTGAATTAATCTAGTTTTGTGTAGATGTGTGTTTAGGATGCAAAGAAAAGTTTTATAGGTGTTTAAAATTTAAGAAGATGAAAAGGGATACTTCTAGGGACTTTATCATAAGATTAACATTTTTGCTGAAAATGCAAATAAGTGGGGAATAGCAATAGAGTGAAGCCTGTGCTGCCATGCTTCTGTGTTGCTTTGGACATCAGGGACTTGAGTTTTTCAGACTATTCACAGATTCCTACAGGCAATAATCCTTTTTTAAAGTTTCCTGGTTGAATGTAAGGAGAAATTCTGTGTCTATTACTGGACAATGCTACTTCCATGAGAAAAATCCAGTTACAGAATTGGACCCTAAACAAAATTCAAGATCAAAAAATGTTTACCATGGTCTTAAACCATAGAAAAATCAATACGGTTTTTTGATTAAAGTAAACTCAGGAAAAATGTCACATACAAGCCCAAGGAAAATTTTTTCGTTATTTATTTGTTAAGATGACGTCTATCAGATTTCCAATAGTGAATTATTAAAAACAAAAACAGTTAGCAAATGACTGAGCTTTATTTAACTTCCTTTTCTGTTTGGTTAAGATCCTGAAATATTTCTTTAAGCTGATCTATGTAATATGGCCTAGTCTAAGTGAGACCTCCATAGTTTATTTATTTGTGCAGCTCATTCTGTTATTAAAGAAATATTTTGTTTGGCTTCCTAATACAATGATGACACTTTCACTAGTTAATACATATCCTGACACAATAGCAGAAAGACAGACACATGTATGCTGCTCCTTGCAGTTCAAGTGTCAGGAATATTGGGATTTTTTTAAGAAAACCAAACCCTTGCTTTCTTTGATTTCCCTTCCACCCCATAAACTGCATAAGGGATGTCTGTCCCTTGAAATAATTTTCATTATGTTGTGCTGCATTGCATTTCCAGATGACAATATGAGAGTGTTTGTAAAAGCAACAACGTATTACATAGAATTTGCAATTAGTTCTCATCCTAAAGTGCTAAAAAGAGATCGCTCCATGATTTTCTCCATGTTTCTGTCATCAAGGTGAAGAAATTACTTAAAGGAGAGGAACTGAGAGGAAGACAATACCAGGGAGGAAAGCTTTGCAACTAATTCCAGAATACAAATATTTGTTCATGCCAGGGAACATGCAGGAAACAAGGACAAGGATTCACTGCTACCACTGTAATGCTCAGTGGCCTCATAGGAAAAGTAGTTATTGATAAGGATTAAATGGTTGGCCTGGGCGTGTCCATTGGTTTAAGAAATTGATAGTTTTCTCTGTGTAAGTAGGTTTCATTTGGCTCTTCTAATCACAACTGGATTGATTTGACAAGACTTTTTTTTTTTATGTGACCAATCTGAACAAGTAGACCCTCAATTTCTTGAGAAGCCTAGTTCTCACTGCTTAATTAATTCTCTCTCATTGCATTGTTTTTCCTGGATCTGTGGCTATGAAACACAGGTCTTCATTGCTCCCTGAACCCAGATGAAACTGTCTGAGCATGATACAAGACTCCTGAATGTTTTTAGGGAACATGTGGGATAGAAGCTTACCTGAGAAAGGGAAACTCACAGTTTGGGTATTTTCTTTGTCTGACTATAAATAGCAAGATTTAAGAATGGAAATTTTAAATTCATTGGATATTTAGATAAAATAAATGCAGTTCAGTAGCATATAGTCTGATGCTATTGACATTTTATTGGAATGTTTCCTTTCCTTTGCAGAAGAAAAGTTAAAAAATGCAGCAAAGCTGCCCTTCTAGTATAAGTCCTTTCAGCGTGGAACTGTCCTACATCATTGATCCCTCTCCAAATCCAGTGCTAAAAGTCTATGTCACTACCATCTGACATATAGTGTAACCATTGTTTACTCCACAACCTCAATGTGTTTATTTTTAAAAGTAATAACAAAGTAATAACACTTTGTGGTTAGAAGGTTTTAGCATATTCATTTTGTGAGGAAGAGAAACACAAAGAAGGCCTTTTATTAGCATGCTCAGGTCCTATATTACAATTTCTTCAATGCCAAAATATCACTGAATACTATTGATATTCAAGCACCTAAGGGTCATATCCTAAATTACTAGTTTTGACATATTGAGACACCAAAAATAATTCAGGAAAGAATTATTCAGAACAAAAATAATTAACATTTATAGGAGACAACATCGGAACCAGCTGCATGTTTCTACACTTTTTTATGTAAGAGTGAAGATGGTGAATGGTTTCTAATAAAACATGTTTTATCTTATGCCTTGGAAAAGCATACAACCATCATTTAGGAAAGTAATGTGCAATTGCAGTGTAATAACATTATTTATTGCTGATGGTTTATGCTTTGGGGGCTGGAATCTTAAAGTGTGACATAATTCAAAAAAAGCAAAAAATGAAAAGCAAAAATCAAAAAAGCACCTGTATCTCAAGATATGGCTACTCAAGACTTATTTTGTATTAATCCCTAGAGAATATTATAGATTTCATGAAAATTTTCTCAAACTAAGAACTTAAAAAAAAAAACTTGCAGTCTTGCAGGTTGATAAAGCTTGGCTTTGCTATAAAAGACCTTGAAGAGATCTAGTAGATTAAATGTTCTTAACACAAATATATGTAGTAAATAAACAGGCTATATCAGAGAGCATGATTTCCTATGTGTTGCTTTCTAGCACGCTCTTATCTAAGATATTAGGAATTGTTGTCCAAAGGTACCATAGCAAGTTAAGCATTTACCTTGTTCAAAAGGTTAATGCAAATGGTGAGTTGCCTCTGAACTCATCCATAGACGTATGTAAGTTGTATTCCACTGTAAACGTACTTACAGGTTGCAGGGATAATGTTGAAAATACTAGACTGAAATTAATCAGTGGTTCTTATGAGTCTGCAGACTGGTTGAAATTAGTGCCTTTTCAGACTGTTAAATAATCACTGTGGAAGAAAGAAAGACCAATTTTCTGGGAAACTATGAAATTTGTGACTGTTCTATTAAATATCAAAACACCATTTCTGCCTTAAAGAAATTCCCAAGATAGACTGTCAGGAGAAAGATCTTTATGTGCCTACCTCATATTAATACTCTCCCCAAGACATTTCTGGTGTCACAGAATCACACAGTCTCTGAGTGGTTGGAAGGGGATGTGAAATCTCCTAGTCTAACCCTCCTGGTCAGGTAGGGTCAGCTACAGCTGATTGTCCAGCACTGTTTGTAGTTCAATTTTGAATATCTAAAATAATGGAGATTCCATTACCTCTTTGGGCAACCTATGCAATGTTTGACAATTATCAGAGTAAAAAAGTGTTTCTTGTTTTCAGAGGGCACTTCAGGTGTTTACTTTGTGCCCTCTGCTTTTTGTCCTGATCACTGATGTATCACTGAGAGGACTTGGGCTCCCTCATCTTCTTTCCCTCACATATGATATTTATGCACATTGATAAGATTCTCCCAGAGCCATCTCTTCTCCAGGCAGAGCAGTCCCAGCTCTCAGGCTCTCCTCACGTGAGGAGTGTCTAGGTCACTAATGAAGGTGTTAAAGAGCAATGGCCCCAGTATCAGCCTCTCAGGTACATCCTGACTGGCCTCCAGCTGGGCTTTGTACCACTGTTCACAACCCTCTGGGCCCACCTGTTCAGCTGTTACCTGATATTAATTATTTTAATTCAGTCTAATTAGTTCTTCCCTTGGCATCTCTATTGTTCACAGTTAGACCACAGAATATTGAGCCAGATATATCCATTAAGACCATTCTTATGTTCTGTTAGTAACTAAGGTAGAAAGAGATGGTTTTTAAATCAGATAGTCCCGAGATCATCTGCCCTCCCAAACATCCCCCAAGGCTTGCAAAGCAAGAACTGCCATGAAGGGATTTTCTGTAATCATCTTCCAAACACGTAATGAGAACCACTTGGACCACTGTGCCCTTTCTTTGATATTAAAAAGATAGGAAAGTAAGAAAGCTGTGATGTTTTGGATTCCCTGGCCAAAAAAACCCCTCAAAAACCAAAACAACCTAAAACAAAAACACACCATCCCCCACCAAAAACAAAACCCAACACCCCCCTCCCAATCTCATGAATATCCAGTTGTTTATTTAATTTTTATGCTGAGCACTTTTGTCCTTTAAATTTTCTAGAAAATTCTAATTCTCGAGCTAAGTTCATAGCAATAGATGTATGTTCTTCTGAATGACCTTCTTTACCAGAATTTTCTGTAAATTACATAAGGAATAAATTAATACAAAACTTATTTAGCTTTAACCTCTGCATGTGTTGTATTGAATCAGTGTGAACATCTATGATCACATGCCACATACCATTCTATTAGTCTTTGATGGCACAAAAATAAAAGACAGAACATTTAAAAATGTTATAAAAATAATACATCAGAAGGAACGAGAAGCTTTGATCCTCACATCTAATTAATTGCACATTGGCTAGATTTAGCTCATACAAATGTGGGATAGTTATTTCACTGTAAATTATTAATAACAATGGATGAACAGTGGTTTGTTTTTCCTTCATTCCTTCCAAATGCAAAAACACAGATACCTACAGTTCAAGCATCAGGAAAGAGGCTAAATGTCTGACCTCTTCATAACTATTCATGCTATGTGAGGTCTGAGAAGCACTCTTCTTACAAAGGCTTTTCAGTAATTCAGCTCATCAGCAGGTAGAACATACATGCACTTCCCTGAGCATCATGTACAAGTCAGTACAGATGCTCTCATACCAATCAGTAAAACATGCAGAGCAACAATTTATTTATTATTTATTATACTTTACACCTATACAGCAATTGTTTTATGCTGCCAGCTCCCTTGGCATATGTGAAGACCTTGGTGACAAACGTAATATTGTTTAGAATCATGAGGCGTGTCACGTGCTTCTTTGATCTAGGTATAAAAGGAAGAATAAAATAAACCTACTTTTCTAATGAAAATTTTCTTGTAACCAAATGCTTTGATTTCTTTCACTGTTTCCAAAATTCAATGGTTCAGAACTAAATTTTTAAAGATGTCCTTCACAATATAGCCTCTGATGTTTACAATACTATTCATGCATAATATACAAATTTTTTTCAATTACTCTTTGACATAACCCTGCCAAACACAATAGATATTAATCATACACAATGAGTGAAGTTTACTCTCAGTGCAGTAACTCACTGATTTGGCAGAGCATGATTTCACAGTGAATAAATCACTGTAAGTATCTGCTGATTTATGCTCTCAGTATGTTTGAGTATGTCTGTGTGTATGCATATATAGAACATACAATTCTTTTGTAGCTGCAGCTACTTTACAGTTTCTGTGGACAGTAGGTGTTGAGAAAGTGAAAGGTGTGCATTTTCCCAGCAGGGATCAAAGCAGAAAAATAGTACAACTTAGATAACCTTTCTGCTAGGCTTCCTCCAGGGCGGAATACCCATTTAAGCATCTTTCCCAGAGCTGCATTTCCTCCATCTCTGTGCTTTACTCTTTCTACACCAATAGCTGTAAGTAGGAGGTGCAGTGAAAGGTGAAACCAAAATGTTTTGATGCTGGAGGCTTTGATCGTTCCTGCTATTAGGATCCCTTATATCTGAAGCCCTCAATCAGGTTCTGAGAAACTTCTGGGAGGAAGGATGGTCTTCAAGAGTTTTCATTCCTTTTTTTGTTTCTGCAGTTTTTCCCACAGAAGGGCGTATTTAGATTCCTAAAGAAGGCTTTGAAAAGGATCCAAAGAGGCAATCACATGCATGTGCAACTATTTTTTTCACCAGGCAAGAATATATGGAATGTGAATGGAGTTTCAGCATAGCTCTGCGAATGTGAGTATCAATTGAAACCGGGTAGGCAAATTCCATTAAGTTCTAGGTAAATTAATGTGCATATAGCCAGTGAATTACTAACTTCATATAATTGAAAGCAGGAAAACCTGTCTGCATTCGGTTGTTAATATAAAGTTTAATTAGAAGGAAGATCTTTCAGGGTGAAGAGTCTCACTGAGAAGCACAGACTTCACAGTATCTTGAGAACATGATTCTAACAAGTCCAGGATTTCTGAAGAGAAAAATGAATGTTAGAAAAATGAATGCTTCTTTTGTACAAATATTAAGATCTGTAGACTTTCTAGCTATAGTTTAATTCTAAGTAAGAATAAATATTTCCCAAAGACTAGAAAATATATACTTTCTCCTTAGCTAAAAAGGTGTAGTTGGAATCCAAGTAACTTATTAAGTGTTCAAAATACAAATTAGTTCAAACTTATGTGATTTTCATATTTAAAATAATTAGTAAATACAACAGCATTTGCTCTTAATTAGTGCCTGTTGTTTGTTATTATCCTCCTGTTTAAAATAAATTCAAATCATCCAGCCAGATGCAAAAAAAGCACCATGTGACCTAAGTGCCTATTGTGAATAGTATGAGAAGACTGACCAAGCAGACTTGTAAACAGCATTCTGCTTAGGTCAACTGTTTTCAGGCTACAGATCCACACACTCTTCCTCTAATAAGGGATACAGTTGCAGAAGTTAGGTTTGATATTGGATAACACAAAAGCAAAGCAATGATGCATTCATTGGATGCATACTTTGCTGTGAAAAAAACAATCTCTTGTAGCAATTATGTACTGCTTGTACAATTATTTTAAGATAAGAAATCCTAAAAGTCATCTTCTGTAATTTTTTTATTTTTAAAAATTTGATTTCCGTCTTTACATTCTAGGACTGGCCTATCTGCCTGTACTTGAGACTTATGTGGATTGGCTTAACCCTTTTAGAAATTTGACTAATAAGTACCTATTCCCTGAATTTAACTTTGAAAGAGCGTTTCCATAATGCATAGAGATTATATAGATAGACAGAAAAGAAAAAAGCAACTCTTGAGAGAAAAAAACATACTCTGTTTACATGCCTCTGTCTAAAGAAAATACATGCATTGAACATTTAGAAAAGTAGACTAAAGTTATTGTTGTTCAAAGGATGTTTACTGGGTGTATTTTGTAGGACTGTAAGTGGACCATGACCCATTTGTGTTTGCTTGACTTTTCCTCAGTGTACTATGACCCATCATTGTTGGGTTTGTTGTATCTTTATTTAAACTTTGTTCCTCTGTGAGGAGCTGTGGCTTCTGTATTTTCAGCATCACTGTACCCCATGGGTGACATTTCCTTTGATCCTTAAAATGCAATATTTCAGATATTATACCAAACCTCAGAAGAATAACTTGCTAAGGAAAATATAGCTGTATTTTCCTGAAGAAATTGAAGCTACATCAGGTTGAATTTCACCCTGTAGGTTATTTAAGCACAGTATGATGTTATACAAACTGAAAACAGAGGGCAAATTCCTGTCTGCTACTGAAGAGATGTCATTGAGGGGGGAGGAAAGAAAAAGCAAATAACTCCCATTCCTTTCCACTGATGTCTTAAGGGCAAAGATTTAATTGTGCTGAGCTGCAGAATAAAATTTATTTCAAAGAGAAGTGATATACCAATAACTTGGCCCTCATTTTGTAGCTCAGGTTTATAAAATCAAGAGTTTACAGTCTTTGGTCTCATCTTGTTTACAGAAGGTTTAATAAGGGATTTTTTAGTTTGCTTATTTGTTTTGTTTCTTTCATATCACAGTTTCAACTGATTCTACATGACCTATGTCTCTAGTTTTTCTTTATGTTCAAATGTCTAAACTTTGTGGCTTTACATTAGAGATTTTTAGAATAAAATTTTCATTTAATGGGTATTTTGTAAAGGCTGTGCGTAATCTGGGTCTTTTTTCCATTCTTTTTATCTGCACCCTTTCCAGTGCTCAAGATCTCCCACATTTGCCATGGTGATCTCCCCAAATTGCAGTGGGTGAAGAAAGGATCAATGTGTTGCTGAAGAACTTCAGAGACACTGTCTCTCTACAGTGGGTCTGAGTGGGAACCTGCTTACCTGCTTCTTTATGTCCTGAATTCTCTGGGGACATCAGAAGAGAAAAAAAGATTAGAGCATTAGAAAACTGGAGAAACACATCTTAGTCCTATTTCATATTCTTCAGCATCTGAGCTGCATGGAAAGGTACTGACACCTCAAATTAGAACATTTTCCACTGCTAAGACCTGTGAGAGGCTACATGGGTCAAGTACTTAAAAATTTGGATTACTGCTCAGTCTCTTGCCCACCTTTGAAACACCCAGTCTAATTTATAGTGTTTGTTTTCCAGTATAGTTCCACCATTTGCCTGTTGTTATCAAACCATGCTATTCCTCGGTATATGAAGTGAAATGAGTGATCTACTTTGTAACTTTTAGTTGATATTTGATTACCAGAAACGCTTTATGCATATCTTTTACTATATAAATATATCTTCATAAATGTGTATATTTAAGTAAGGAGCTACATAGACATATAAATATTTGTATATTTTTTTTTTGTGCTGAAAATGAACACTAGTGAAATTCCTTACGGTAAATAAAGCGCGTCATGATAGAAAGATGTAAGGCATGTTCTTTATATTTCCAGACAGAGACCCCTCTAAAAATTGAAAAAAAGGTTACTTTCACAAGACAACAAATCCAAGAGTTCAAATCTCTGCTTAGTAGCAACACTGGTTATAGAAGAAGTCCAGGACTTACAAATCTTATTAGCCTGCAAGTATGGTTGTAGGGACTAAGAGCTGATTAATTACTACTCAGCTGTAAAATGACAGATATCTCCTTTTTCATCAGCTGCTTTCTCTGGGAAAGAATATTTCTTTATGCTTTTTTAAACTGAGTTTTAAGTTTTCCAATTCCCTGCTATCCTTCTTCTCCGCCCTTTAAAAGAGTAGGTTGCAAGAGTACACGCCCTCATCTGCATCTTACTATTTTGAAAGCTGCTCTTTCTCACTACAAAGCACTATGATATATTGCAAAAAAAAAGACATTTCAGTTTTTTTCTCTCTTATTTTTGTAACTATCTTTAGCCATCAAAACTTAATCTTCCAGTAGTCCCTGTCAAAAACTGTGCCCCGAGCATGTAAAACCACAGGATGAAGGACTGTCCTAACAAATGCTTTTAGACAGTGCTCTGGATCATTGTTTCACAGTAGCTTTTTAATTCAGTTATAAAGTTGCATCTTCCAGTTGGCAAGAAAGAGATGTTATTTGTCTGATGGTGATAATGCAGTTAAAGAAAGAAAGGCCTTTTAGAAACTGCAGAAAGGATTTGAAATAATTATTTTGTCTTAAGCAGCCACCATGTAATGCAGTGCTACATTTGTAACTGAAGAATGTTTTTACCAGGCTTTTTCTTCCCATCTCTCAGCATTTTCCTGTTTAATGTAAAAACGAGCTGATACAATACAGTTATTTTATGTTTAGAATAGGAATAAGTGTTGTATGCAAAATTTTCAGACATCTCTTTCCATCTCAACAAACTTTAAACACTCCCCTTTTTCTTCCCCTTTCATGTCTGTGTTCATCATTTTAGCTTATGCATACAATTTATATTTGAATACAATGAAAGTAGGTTGATTCTTGGTTCATATCTTCACTTCCCCCACTAACCCTTCATGTAGTTGTATATTATTAAGTCTGTCCTCATAAAGTCTTTTTTCCAATCTTGCATATCCTGCTCTCACTGATTTTAGATGAGGTCTAAACAAAGTCTTGCAAAATGGGACTATTACCTTTCGAGGTTTAAATATTAAGTCAATTCACATCCTGCAACAACATGTAGTGCCCAAATATAGGTGAATGGGTAAAGAGAAGGCTGGGCAGATGGGCAGACCAAAAATATAAAAAACACAGATTATGGGAAAAGAAATGGGAAAGATAACCCCCCGCCCCCCCCCCCCCCCCCCAAAAAAAAAAAAACCTAAAAAAAACCCCCAAAACCAAAAAGGAACAAAAAACTAAACAAAATCCAACAAAACCAACCCAAGAAACAATATAGAAAACCCCTACGAACTGAACAAAACCCCCTAGCAATCAACCCAAATCCAAACTTCAAGTGTAAATCAAGGCAGCTGCAAGTTCATGTTCTTCTACTGATAGCCACTTATAACAGCTGAGGATCTGGGCCTGTGTCAACCCCATATGCAAAGGTGCAACACTAGCTGGATTGAAACTCATTGTATATTTAGTTTGTTTAACTTACTGTGATCTTCAAAATTGAAAATATCTATTGTATAGCATGCTCCAGAGCACTAGCAAGTGGCATCCCCAACATCTGGTCACTGCTGGTTTACTGCAGGATGTTTCTACACCACACTGAGCCATGCTGCATCAAAGATGTCCCAGTTAACTTCACACTAACAGTGCCTCCCATAGCCAGGTTAAGAGGCTGCACTAGGTGACTGGAGATCACAGAACAGAATCCTACAGTCACTGAGGTTGGAAAAGACCTCCAAGATCTCCAAGTCCAATCCTTGACCAATCACCACTTTGTCAACTAGGCCATGGCACTAAGTGCCACCTTTCTTGAACAATTCCAGGGATGGTGACTCTACTGCTTCCCTGGACAGCCCCTTCCAATGGTTAACTATCCTTTCAGTGAAGAAAGCATCTAAAACAAACAAAAAAATTGCTTAAATAAAGTTGAGTCTTTTGTACAAAATTTGCACTGATTGCTATTGATTTCAATGAGAATGGGACAACTAGCTTAGGAGCAACTCAGAATGTAACCCACTTAATGAGAATCCTAGAACATTAGATGATTCTTCAGAGATATTCCAATACTTATAAGAAGGAGAATCTCAGTTTTTCTTTTGGAATGTGCTTTTTCAAAATTCTGCTCATGCATGATTTCTGCTCTTAAGCAATATCAAATGCAGTTAAAACCAGACAAGTTATTTGTTCCTACAAAACAGTCGGATTTGTGCGTTCATACATTTGTATATCCCATCCTTTTGTCTGCAAAAATGACTGTTTC